TGCACATATCTCCGTTACTACCTCCCTGTACCACCACCACAACCACTACCACCCTCTACCACCATCACTACCACTACCACCCTCTACCACTATCATAACCACTACCACCATCACTACCACCCTCTACCCTCATCACAACCACTATCGCCCTCTACCACCATCGTAACCATTACCACCCTTTACCACCATCACAACTACTACTACCCTCTACCACCATCACTACCACCCTTTACTACCATCACAACCACTACCACCCTCTACCACCACCACTTTCATATTTTTCTTCAAACTTTTTCTTGAATTCTATCGTGTTTCTCACATTCTTTATAAACCAAAGGGCTGGCACCAGAAGCTTTCTTTGGGCGTATGGTGGCTTAGGGAGCAGTCAGGTGTAACATATCGACTTCTTTATTTTTCAACCGATTACGTTCATTTTTGGTGTACTATTAGAAGCTTATATAAAACCTCCTGTGCTGAAGTTTCAATCATATCGGCCAAAAAGTAAATGAAATATGCAAAATTTACGAAAAATTGCATTTGGCAGCGGAGTCCTACTCAGTGGTACTTGGAAAAGTGGTTTTGACACTTGCTGCTGATAGAACACCTCTAATTCCATCATGAATTACGTACCTTTTCTAAAATAAACCTTATCTTCATGCTATAAAAAAATAAGTTTCATAACTTTTTTGTCATATTGGAAGATATTGGTCTTGTTGCCCACATAAATCTAAAAATATTTGGGATAGTTCAGAAAGGTACGTAATTTCTTGTAAATTAATCATTCTCCTATGTTTGTTGTGAAAATCAAGTCAATTCATTCATAAATAAGGATGCAGTCCCCCTAAATAGGTAAATAAGTTACTTTCGAGATATAGGCCGAAGCGCGCGGCACCCCAGGTGCCCGGGAAATATTTTTTTTCCCCGAAAAATTCGCCTTATTTTACACTTTTTCCGCGTGTTCCGAGTGTTTATTACAGTTAACCATTGTAAATCCGTTTTCTCTCATCACTGATGAGAGAGGACGGACCCTCTCTTCACCTTCAGGGGAAATATCGATAGAAATTTTTTTCTTGGGGCGTCATATTATGCTATATATTTTTTTTTAAGGTGTACTTTTTATGTTTATATGCTATTATTATATTGCATTATGTCATAATAGATCAATTGTGATAGATAAATAAGCCTTATAATTGATATTAGCGTGGGTATGGAATATTTTGTTGGCTGGAGGTGTCGGCCATTTTATGCAATATACCCAGGGTACCTTGATTGGTTACTTGATCATATTAGCTCCGCCCACTCTGGCATGATCTCAGATGGTGAATTTGTATTATATTAGACATAAAGATATAAGAAAACGATAAAAATAACACGGGGAAAAACGTAACAAAAACGTCAACAAAGCCGAGTCAGCGCTTCTTGTGCACTATGACGCGTCAGCGCTGTCACCATGCCTGTTATAAATGGCTCTAATTCCTTTTAGAAACATCGTACAAGGATAATAATTATACCAGAGTGTAGCCAGAAAGTTCAGCTATTTTTTGGTAACAATAACTCCATTTTCATATTTTTTCGATTTTTTTTTTGCACCGCGCGCGTGAACCTGACTGCTCCCTTATTTAGCAGTCAAACAATGGATTCTTATGAAATGTTTCGTATGACCTCGCAGGATATGTTCACTCACTGAGAAACAACACGACACTACCTGTACATTGCCTGTACATTGCAGAGTCACTTGTTTGCACAGAACTGCTAAATGCCTCAAATGATGTAGTGGAAGTTTTAGCAGTAAAGGTCGAGAACCAAAACCTAGTCATTGTGATAGTCTACAAGCCTCCGGATGCAACATCCCAGCAATTCCAGGAACAGCTGTTAAAAATTGACCACTGTCTGGAAAACCTTCCAGCTCCTGCACCCAACATCTTGCTCCTGGGGGATTTCAACTTAAGGCACCTAAAATGGAGGAATATAGCAAATAATATTGTTGCAGTAATAACACCAGGAGGCAGCTCTGATGAAAACTCACACTCACGCGAGCTTTTAAATCTCTGCACAAAATTCAATTTAAACCAGCAAATAATAGAGCCTACTAGACTGGAGAATACACTAGACCTCATCTTCACTAACAATGATGATCTGATAAGAAATATCACCATATCAAAAACAATATACTCAGATCACAACATAATTGAGGTTCAGTCATGTATGCGCGGAGCCCCAGACCGACATAATGAGATTAGTCACGAGGGAGCATTCACCAAATTCAACTTCAATAACAAAAACATAAAGTGGGACCAAGTAAACCAAGTCCTAACCGATATAAGCTGGGAAGATATACTAAGCAACACAGACCCCAACTTATGCCTAGAACAGATTAACTCGGTAGCACTCGATGTATGCACAAGGCTTATTCCTCTAAGAAAAAGGAGGAGTAGATGTAAAACAGAAAGAGACAGGCGCTCCCTTTACAGGCGACGGAAAAGAATAACAGAGCGGCTAAAAGAGGTCAATATATCTGAAATGCGTAGGGAGACACTGGTCAGAGAAATAGCAAGCATCGAACTTAAGCTAAAAGAATCCTTTAGGAGTCAGGAATCGCGGGAAGAACTAAAAGCCATAAATGAAATCGAAAGAAACCCAAAGTATTTCTTCTCCTATGCCAAATCAAAATCGAGAACAACGTCCAGTATTGGGCCCCTACTTAAACAAGATGGGTCCTACACAGATGACAACAAGGAAATGAGTGAGCTACTCAAGTCCCAATATGACTCAGTTTTTAGCAAGCCGCTAACCAGACTGAGAGTCGAAGATCAAAATGAATTTTTTATGAGAGCCACAAAATTTGATTAACACAAGCCTATCCGATGTTATCCTGACGCCAAATGACTTCGAACAGGCGATAAATGACATGCCCATGCACTCTGCCCCAGGGCCAGACTCATGGAACTCTGTGTTCATCAAGAACTGCAAGAAGCCCCTATCACGAGCCTTTTCCATCCTATGGAGAGGGAGCATGGACACGGGGGTCGTCCCACAGTTACTAAAAACAACAGACATAGCCCCACTCCACAAAGGGGGCAGTAAAGCAACAGCAAAGAACTACAGACCAATAGCACTAACATCCCATATCATAAAAATATTTGAAAGGGTCCTAAGAAGCAAGATCACCACGCATCTAGAAACCCATCAGTTACACAACCCAGGGCAACATGGGTTTTTAGAACAGGTCGCTCCTGTCTGTCTCAACTATTGGACCACTACGACAAGGTCCTAAATGCACTAGAAGACAAAAAGAATGCAGATGTAATATATACAGACTTTGCAAAAGCCTTCGACAAGTGTGACCATGGCGTAATAGCGCACAAAATGCGTGCTAAAGGAATAACAGGAAAAGTCGGTCGATGGATCTATAATTTCCTCACTAACAGAACACAGAGAGTAGTCGTCAACAGAGTAAAGTCCGAGGCAGCTACGGTGAAAAGCTCTGTTCCACAAGGCACAGTACTCGCTCCCATCTTGTTCCTCATCCTTATATCCGACATAGACAAGGATGTCAGCCACAGCACCGTGTCTTCCTTTGCAGATGACACCCGAATCTGCATGACAGTGTCTTCCATTGCAGACACTGCAAAGCTCCAGGCAGACATCAACCAAATCTTTCAGTGGGCTGCAGAAAACAATATGAAGTTCAACGATGAGAAATTTCAATTACTCAGATATGGTAAACATGAGGAAATTAAAATCTTCATCAGAGTACAAAACAAATTCTGGCCACAAAATAGAGCGAAACACCAACGTCAAAGACCTGGGAGTGATCATGCCGGAGGATCTCACCTTCAAGGACCATAACACTGTATCAATTGCATCTGCTAGAAAAATGACAGGATGGATAATGAGAACCTTCAAAACTAGGGAGGCCAAGCCCATGATGACACTCTTCAGGTCACTTGTTCTATCTAGGCTGGAATATTGCTGCACACTAACAGCACCTTTCAAGGCAGGTGAAATTGCCGACCTAGAAAATGTACAGAGAACTTTCACGGCGCGCATAACGGAGATAAAACACCTCAATTATTGGGAGCGCTTGAGGTTCCTAAACCTGTATTCCCTGGAACGCAGGAGGGAGAGATACATGATTATATACACCTGGAAAATCCTAGAGGGACTAGTACCGAACTTGCACACGAAAATCACCCACTACGAAAGCAAAAGACTTGGCAGACGATGCACCATCCCCCCAATGAAAAGCAGGGGTGTCACTAGCACGTTAAGAGACCATACAATAAGTGTCAGGGGCCCGAGACTGTTCAACTGCCTCCCAGCACACATAAGGGGGATTACCAACAGACCCCTGGCAGTCTTCAAGCTGGCACTGGACAAGCACCTAAAGTCAGTTCCGGATCAGCCGGGCTGTGGCTCGTATGTTGGTTTGCGTGCAGCCAGCAGCAACAGCCTGGTTGATCAGGCTCTGATCCACCAGGAGGCCTGGTCTCAGACCGGGCCGCGGGGGCGTTGACCCCCGGAACTCTCTCCAGGTAAACTCCAGGTACCTGAGAATGCGTATGGGAGGCGGCTTTGTGTGCACTCTGGGCACTGGACAGGTTCTGTACCACCGATGAAAACGGAGGAAATCGACGAAAACGAAACCAATATTTTGACAAAAAAAGTCGGCGAAAATGGAAATCGCCAGTAATCGACAAAAAGGGAGGGGTCCACTGTATTTTACTATTCAGAGAAATACATGTATGGTGTAATAGAAGAAACTTACGGACTCAGTGAACTGAGGCAAGATAGTTTTAGTGGCTGGTATGTCTACAGTGTTCTTCAACATCATCCATCCATTATCATCACTAGTCTATACTCAGCTATTTTTACAATACGGTTCATCATTTCCACTTCTAGTTCATTCTTATCATTACTTTCTCCTGAACTGGCAGTAAAACTCAGCTGTCTAGCATAATCACTGTTTAACCATCACTATTCTTATATCTGTGTTTTAGATGCAGTCTTTTTCAACCTGGAGAGAGTGACACAACGTGGAGGCTTTATGTTCTATGCTGCTTCTAGACTTTTGAACTTCAGGGCTGCCAGTTGTGGTTTCTTCAACAATTTTTGTCTGACAGACCCATCTGCTCGGGGAAGTTAGCCAGTGTTTATTTTACACTCTATTTTTAAATTAAATTTTTTTTATTTGTAAAATTAGTCAAATTACATTCTTATAATTGAATGATTAATTTCTTATGCTCAGTCAATAGAGCAGTGGTTTCTTATGCTCAATCAATAGAGCAGTAGGTATACTAGTGGCTAGGAATTGGGTCAACTTAAGCATTGGAATATCTTAACCCTTAAATGGTCCAAACGTATATATACGTTTTTTCAACATCTGAAAGTATGTAAAAAAATGTAGATTTTTTTTTTGTTTTACATTTGAAAATGTGTAAAAAAAACTTTTATCTACATTTTTTTTGTTACATTTGAAAATATGTAAACAAAAGTAGATCTACTTTTGTAGCACTACGAATTTGAACGCCAATTTGTTTGGACCGTTTAAGGGTTAAATTAGGATGTAAAGTGGGCAAAATTGCTGATGCATATAATTTTGAATGAATAATTACTTAAGTTTTTAATCAAATGTTGACTTTGTGATGTCATAACTTCAGAAAAAGGTTATTTACCATTTGAAAAAATTACGATGCAGCACTTTTAATTTTGGGAATCACAGTAGTGAAAGTGTTAAGTGCCTAAATGACTTTCCAGACAAAAAATGAAATGGAAGACATGAGAGTTCCTTCAAGGAGACAAACATATCAGTGTTCAGAATGTCTAAAAGACTTTACACATAAATCATCCTTAATACGGCATATGAAAGTTCATACAGGAGAAAAACCATATCGATGTTCTGACTGTCTAAAAAAATTTTCATATAAATCAAGTCTTATACAACACATGAGAGTTCATTCACAAGAAAGACCGTATCACTGTTCTGATTGTTTAAAAGACTTTTCGTATAGATCAGCCCTAATACAACACAAGTTAGTTCATTCACAGGAAAAACCACATAAGTGTTCTGAATGTTTAAAAGACTTTAAACGGAGATCACATCTGATAGAACACATGAGTGTTCATTCACAAGAAAAACCGTATCAGTGTTTTGAATGTTTAAAAGATTTTTCATTGAGATCACATCTAATGCAACACATGAGAGTTCATTCACAAAAAAAACCATATCAGTGTTCTGAATGTCTAAAAGACTTTAAACATCGATCATCCCTAATAGAACACACGAGAATTCATACACAAGAAAAACCATATCAGTGTTCTGAATGTTTAAAAGACTTTTCACGAAGAGGAACCCTGATACAACACATGAGAACTCACACACAAGAAAAACCGTATCAGTGCTCTGAATGTCTAAAAGACTTTTCAGTGAGATTATATCTAACACGACACATGAGAGTTCATTCTCGAGAAAAATCATTTCAATGTTCTGAATGTCTAAAAGAGTTTTCAGGGAGATCAACCCTAATGAAACACATGAGAGTTCATACACAAGAAAAACCGTATCAGTGTTCTGAATGTCTAAAAGACTTTTCATTGAGATCATATCTTACACGACACATGAGAGTTCATTCTCGAGAAAAATCATTTCAGTGTTCTGAATGTCTAAAAAAATTTACACTGAGAGCATCCCTAATAGACCACATGAGAGTTCATACACAAGAAAAACCACATCAGTGTTCTGAATGCTTAAAAGACTTTTCGCTGAGATCAAATCTAATGCGACACATGAGAGTTCATTCACAAGAAAAACCATATCAGTGTTCTGAATGTCTAAAAGGCTTTCCACTGAGATCATATCTATTACTACACATGAGAGTTCATACACAAGAAAAACCATATCAGTGTTCTGAATGCTTAAAAGACTTTTCGCTGAGATCATATCTAACACAACACATGAGAGTTCATTCACAAGAAAAACCATATCAGTGTTCTGAATGCTTAAAAGACTTTTCACGGAGATCACATCTAACTCGACATATGAGACTTCACTTATAGGAAAAAAGCATAAAAGTGCTCACAATGTGTAAAAGATTTTTCTCAAAAATCAAATCTACTACTAATGAGGCCTGGTCACAGACCAGGCCGCAGGGGCGTTGACCCCCGGAACTCTCTCCAGGTAAACTACAATACATTAGAGTATAAATCATCCGGTCCTGATGAGCTTTTTTCTAGGGTTCTTAAGGAATGCAAAATGGAACTCTGTGAACCTTTAACTAATATTTTTAATTTATCTCTTCAAACAGGTGCAGTGTCTGATATGTGGAAGATGGCTAATGTAATTCCTATTTTTAAAACAGTGGACAAGTCGTTACCATCAAATTACCGCCCAATAAGCCTAACCTCAATGGTAGGCAAATTACTAGAGTTAGTTATAGCTGATAATATGAGAAGCCATCTCATTAGGCATAATTTAATTAATGATACTTAACATGGATTCACCAGGGGCTGTTCCTGCCTAACAAATTTATTAAGTAAGGCTTTTGAGGCCATTGATCATGATAAAGAATTCGATGTTGTTTATTTAGATTTTAGTAAGGTTTTTGATAGAGTATGACATCAGAGACTATTAAAATGGCTGCTCATGGCATTGAGGGAAAATTGCTCTCATTGATCGAATCATGGCTCACCAATAGGAAGCACTACCACCATAAATGGGGTTAAATCTGAGTGGGGATCTGTAACAAGTGGCATTCCGCAGAGATCGGTTTTAGGCCCATTGTTGTTTATAATATATATAAATGACCTTGACGAGGGAATTACTAGTGATACAAGTAAATTCACTGATGACGTGAAGATAGGTAGAATAATCAATTCAGACGCTGACGTCTTGAAACTTCAGGAGGATTTAGACAAACTCAATTCATGGTCAGAAAAGTGGAAGATGCATTTCAATGTAGGTAAATGTAAAGATCTAAAGCTCTGAAATATTCATAGCCCTAGCACCTACCAGCTTAATAATGTTGAACTTAGCTGTACAAAATGCAGAAAGGATTTGGGGGGTTAGGGCAAACAGCATCCTTAAAGCAAGACAGCAGTGCCTAAGCATATATAATAAGGCAAATACATTACTGGGATTTATATCAAGAAGTGTAAGCAACAGAAGTCCAGTGGTTATACTACAGCTTTATACATCATTAGTAAGGCCTCACCTAGATTATGCAGCTCGGTTCTGGTCTCCACTTACATAATGGATATAAATTCGTTAGAAAACATTCATTGACGAATGACAAAATTAATTCATTGCATTAGAAATCTTCCGTATGAAGAAAGATTGAAGACCCTTAAATTACATTCACTTGTAAGATGAAAAATGAGGGAGACATGATCGAAGTGTGTAAGTGGAAGATGAGCATTAATAAAGGGGATATAAATAAGGTCATGAGGATCTCTCTCCAAGAGAGAACCTGCAATAATGGATTCAAATTAGACAAGTTTGGATTTAGAAAGGATATAGGAAAGTATCAGATTAGAGGGAGAGAGTATGGAGGAGGTGAATGTATTCAGATATTTAGGAGTGGACGTGTTAGCAGATGAGTCTATGAAGGATGAGGTGAATCATAGAATTCATGAGTGGGGAAAAGATGAGTGGTGCACTTAGTAGTCTACGGAGACGAAGAACTTTGTCCATGGAAGCAAAGAGGGGAATGTATGAGAGTATAGTTATACCAACACTTTTATATGGTGTGAAGCATGGGTGATGAATGTTGCAACGAGAAGAAGGCTGGAGGCACTGGAGATGTCATGTCTGAAGGCAATGTGTGGTGTGAGTATAATGCAGAGAATTCATAGTTTGGAAATTAGGAGGAGGTGTGGGATTACCAAAACTATTATTCAGAGGGCCGAGGAGGGGTTGTTGAGGTGGTTCAGACATGTAGAGAGAATGGAACAAATCAGATTGACTTCAAGAGTGTATAAATCTGTAGTGGAGGGAAGGCGGGGTAGGGGTCAGCCTAGGAAAGGTTGGAGGGAGGAGGTAAAGGTTTTATGTGCTAGGGGCTTGGACTTACAGCATGTGTGAGCGTATTTGATAGGTGTGAATGGAGACAAATGGTTTTTAATACTTGATGTGCTGTTGGAGCATGAGCAAAGTAACATTTTTGAAGGGATTCAGGGAAACCAGCTGGCCGGACTTGAGTCCTGGAGATGGAAGTACAGTGTGTGCACTCTAAAGGAGGGGTATTAATGTTGCAGTTTTATAAACTGTAGCCCTCTTCATGGGGGGCTCCTTGGCATGGTGAAGAGGCTCTTGGTCTGAGGAATTAGACCTGTTGGTCTCCTTCCTTAGACTGAACCTAATTACCCCCCAATCCCCCTTTCCCTATCCCATCCTCCCCATCCTCCCTTTTTTTTTTTTCTTTCCTCCTCCTCCTTCCCACCCCTTCCTTTTGCCCTTCCTCTTTTTGACCTTTGGGATTTTTCCCACAGGCGCGCTAGTTCCTAGGGAGGGGAAAGGGTACCGGGGTCGATCCCATTCCATTGAGGTTCTTGGCGGTGGCGTAGTTTGCTGTGGAATCTGGATCGCCTGAGGATGTCCCAATCCCTCTCCGGTATCCCGGAGGGTGGCTTTGGGTGTCTTTCAGGCGACGGGTGTATCTCTGGAAGCCACCTTTTGGATTCCGGGGGTGGTGGCCGAAGGAGGTATACTTTGTGGCGGATATCCGGCAGCCCTCTCTTTTGTCCACCGAGGTAGCGCGGCAGATGTGAGGTTGCTATCCCGGATTGCTGGTTTACTGGCATGAAGGGTAGGGTATGGCATGGGTTCCATGCTGCATCTGCGCTACTTGCGGTGCTGAGGTCCTCTTGGGCGCAGAAGGAGATTTCTGGCCGTTTCATTTCTCCTAGGAACTATCCCTCCCTGGTCCCCCCTTTTTTTATTCTTTTTTTTTTATTTTTATTTTCTTTTCTTCTTTCCTTTTTTAAAAAAAAAAACAAAAAGAAAGAAGTAACCTAACTATGGAGTACCCGATGCATGACCCAGCTACCCCCGGGCTCCTTATTGTTACCGCACCCCGTTTTGACCTCGTCTCATCTTTTGGCCACTCTTTGGACACTCCTAAGGCCCTTGTACCTCTTGCTGGTGCTGTTTCGTCACCCGCTTCAGGTGCTGGGGTTTCGACTGACTCCTTTGATTTGTCTGACCTCCGCTCTCCTTTGACTATGCTTCCAGCTTCTCCCTCTACGGTGCGGCGATTTTTGAATCGCCAGCCCATCCCATGTCGGACCGACTCTGGTCCCCCTTCTAAATGCCAACGACAATCTCCTGATGATGTTACTTCGTTACCTTCCCATTCTACTCAGAAAAGACCGACACATCATGCGCTCCCTCTCCACACTCAGTTTAGGACCACACAATGGACTAAATTCTTTACTTTAAGACCGACTTCTTCTACTGCCTATCTTTCCGACCATATCTCTACCAAAATATCTCTACTAACGCCACGTTGGTAGAGATATTTCCTTTCATGATCTTAAGAGTGGTACGCGCATCATCACAGTCCAGAATTCTACCCAAGCTCATGATTTTTCTCTTTCACATATCGATACTTTTCTTATCACTATCGAAAAACATCATTCCCTTAATTCTAGTAGTGGTACTGTTATTCTGCCCCATACCATAGTCCAACAGAATTTCCAGACATGTGGCAATGACATTCTCGAACAGCTGGAACTCCAAGATCTCCCAATTCTCAAGGTAGACACTTATGTTCTTCCTGCCCGTGAGCGAAGACGTTACCCTTGCAATGTGGCTCGTTTAACTTTTGACAGCCGTGAACTCCCATTCTCTGTTTATGTAGCAGGACATCGGTTACAAGTTCGGAAGGTGATCCCTATGCCGCAACAGTGTAGGAATTGCTGGCGATTTGGCTACCCAGCAAAATATTGCAGATCTATAGCCGAATGCCCAGTCTGTGGTGCCGATGACCATTCTAATACGTCTTACAGTCGACCTCCCTCTTGCCTTAATTGTCATGAGGCTCACCCTTCGTACTCTCGCCATTGCCAGGTCTACTTAAATGAGCGGGAAATTCGTTGCCTCAAAGAGGCAGAAGGTCTCCCTTATGCTATGGCAGTTTCTCATCTCCGCCTCCAAGGGAGACTACCCCGTGTTTCTTATTCTCGTGTTTCAAAACGTCCCCCTACTTCTGCGGTCCCATCTTCTGCAGCCTCCTCTGCGGTTGCCAGTCCCATAGTCACTCCTGTATCTAATTCTTTTGCTCTCCTGGGCTCAGATGTCTCTACTTCAACACCTCAGTCTGTCCTCACTTCTTCATGTTCTCCCTCACAAACCTCGGTATCGACAAGACCTCGTACTACACCTCCTCCCAGTCATCCCTCTACTTCTCAGAGGTCCAACAAATCTCCTTTAACCCCTCCTTCCCTTCATCCACCTCCACATTTTACCTTCTCGGTCTCTGTACCTGGGTCTTCCCCTTTCACTGGCTCCATTACAAGTTTTGAGGTTCATCCTCCTATGCGTACTGTGCCTTCCTCCCCTGTCCCCTTTGCCACCGCATGTGGACTTTTCTAACCCCTTTAGTCTGCAGGTACCCTTAGCTGCGGACTTCAGGTATCTTTATCGTTGCCAATCATGGCCTATTTACAGTGGAATATACACGGCCTCAGGGGTAATTGGGGTGAGGTTCAGATGTTGCTCTCCCAGTTTTACCCTGTTGGTGTTTGCTTAGAGGAACCAAAATTACACTCTGCTGTTGTCTATCCCATCTCAGGCTATAATTTATTGTATTCTTCAGATCCTTTTCCTGATGGGACCTTTAATGAAAGTGCCCTTCTTCTACGCACTGATATTCCGTACCATCAGCTATTTGTTCGTACTTCGCTGCATTACACAGCAGCCTGTATCCACTTGCATAGGTGGTATACACTCTGTTCTTTGTATCACTCTCCTTCTCGGGCATTATCTATCCCGGATATTGCCTTTTTAGTTTCGTCATTACCGCCACCACTTCTGTTACTTGGCGATTTTAAATCCATCATTTCCTCTGGTGGGGGTCTCACTGTGATTCCCGTGGCATTCAGTTAGAGGCTTTTCTTGCTACCCACCCCCTCCATGTTTTAACCCTTAAATGGTCCAAACAGATTGATGTTCAGATTCATAGTGCTACAAAAGTAGATCTACTTTTTTTTTTACATATTTTCAAATATAACAAAAAAATAATGTAGATAAAAGTTTTTTTTACAGGTTTTTAAATGTAAAACAAAAAAGAAGATCTACATTTTTTTACATACTTTCAGATGTTGAAAAAACGTATATATACATTTGGACCATTTAAGGGTTAAATACAGGTACTCGCACCCATTTTGATCCTCGGACTCATACTCTCTCTTGCATCGATCTCTCAGTCTGCTCTTCCTCCGCTGCATTAGACTTCACCTGGTCTGTTCTCCCCGATTTACATGACAGCGATCATTTCCCAATCATTCTTACTTACCCTTCATATTCACCACCTCGTAACCCATGCTGGCAATTTGATCAGGCAAATTGGAACCTTTACTCACAACTGTTTTTAGTGAGGTTCCTTCTTCGTCCTCCATTGATGAGCTTTTACACCTCTTCTCGTCCTCCGTTTTAACTGCAGCTTCTCATTCTGTACCCCAAACCTCGGGCAGGCATTCTCAGAAATGCGTGCCTTGGTGGTCTCCTGCTTGTGCTCGTGCAGTACATTTGAAACGTGCTGCGTGGGGCAGGTACCGGTACAGTAGAACCACAGAGAGACTTCTTGATTTTAAGCAGAAGCGTGATTGCTCGCCGTGTCATCTGTGACACTAAACGCACTTGCTGGCGAGACTATGTCTCCACCATCACCTCTGCTTCCTCTATGAGTGCAGTCTGGAAAAAAGTACAAAAACTGAGTGGCAAATATTCTCCTGACCCAGTTCTTGTTCTGCGGGTTGCCGGTGTTGATACAGCAAACCCACTAGATGTTGCCAATGAAATTGGCAATCATCTGGTCCGTATTTCTCAGGGGCTCCATCTATGCCCCTCGTTTCTTTCCTCAAAGTCTGCCAGAGAATTAGCACCCTTGGACTTTTCTTCTCTCAGAGAAGAACAGTATAATGTGCCTTTTACACTTCAGGAACTGGAGGCAACACTCTCAGTTTGCCGATCATCGGTAGCTGGGCCCGACGACATTCATATTTGTATGCTGCAATGTTTACATCAGCCAGCCTTTGCAGTCCTATTACACCTTTTCAATCTTATTTGGTCACAAGGAGTTCTTCCACAGCTGTGGTAATCTGCCATTGTTCTCCCTTTCTGCAAACCGGGTACTACTGGACATGAAACCTCCCACTATCATCCCATTGCTCTTACCGGTGCAGTTTGGCAAAGTGATGGAACGCCTGGTAAATAGACGTTTAGTGTGGTATTTAAAGACACACAACAGTCTCTCCACTCGTCAGTATGGCTTTCGTAAGGGCCGTTCTACCATAGACCCCTTACTATGCTTGGATACGTATGTTCGTAATGCTTTTGCGAATAACCTCTCAGTTATTGCCATATTTTTTGACCTTGAGAAGGCATATGACAGAACATGGAGGTATAATATTTTGGCCCAAGCCCACTCCTTAGGCCTCCAAGGCAATCTACCATCCTTCCTTAAGAACTTTTTAACTGGCAGACATTTCCGTGTTCGGGTTAATAATGTGCTCTCCCCGGACTTTATCCAAGCTGAAGGTGTCCCCCAGGGACACCTTCAACACTTTTTCTCCTTGCTATAAATGATTTGGCCTCTAGTCTTCCATCCAGTATTTGGTCATCACTCTGTGTAGATGACTTTGCTATTGCCTGTGCAGGCGATGACTGTCACCTCATTACAGTTTCTCTCCAGCATGTGGTTGACTGTGTTTCCAATTGGGCCACCACACATGGGTTTAAATTTTTCAGTACCAAAACTCACCAAATTACTTTCACTAGACGCTCTGTCATCTCCGATCATCCTTTGTACCTCTGTGGCTCCCGTATCCCTGAACGTGATACAGTCAGGTTTCTAGGCCTCCTCTTTGACCGTAGGTTATCCTGGAAACCTCCCATTACCTCTCTGAAGGCAATTTGTCACAGCCGGCTGAACCTTCTTGAAACCCTTGCTCATCTTTCATGGGGAGCTGATCGTCGAACTCTCCTTCGCCTACATTCCACCCTCATTTTATCGAAACTTGATTATGGTGACCAGATCTATTCAGCTGCCTCTCCTTCTACCCTCTCTAGCCTTAACCCCATTCATCATCAAGGCTAACGTTTATGCCTTGGTGCTTTTCGCTCTTCCCCTGTTGAGAGCCTCTATGCAGAAACGAACGTTTCATCCTTATCCGAGCGCCGTGATGCCCATTGCCTTAGCTACTATGTACGCTCTCATGATCTTTGCAATCCTTCCATTTATAGAATGGTCACCAATATTAGTAGACCTTCTTTATTTGTTCACCACCCCTGTTTGCTCCGTCCCTTCTCTCTTCGCCTACATTCGCTCTTGTCTTCTCTTCAATTACCACCTTTCTATGTTCATGTAGCATCTCACTTTTCCCTACCCCTCTGGGAAGTTCCAGCTGTTCGAGTCTGTTCCTTCTCACTCCCTTGCTCGAAAGCCCAATTGTCTATGGTAGCTTCCCGCTCTCTTTTTCTTGACCACTTCCACTCTCATTCTCATGCCATTGCAGTGTACACAGATGGCTCTAAGTCTTCTGACGGCATAGGATTCGCAGCAGTGTTTCCGATCAGCTTCATACGAGGGCATTTACTATCTTTTGCAGCACTTATCCGTATTGCATCTATGCCTGTGTCATCATTTGTGGTTGTCTCAGACTCCCTTAGTGCTTTACAGGCTATACAGAAATTTGATACACCTCACCCCTTAGTCCTCCGTATCCAACTTTGGCTACGCTGCATCTTTACCAAGCATAAAGATATTGTTTTTTGTTGGGTCCCTGGTCATGTTGACGTACAGGGCAATGAACAGGCAGACACTGCTGCGCGGTCAGCAGTACATGACCTACTAGTTTCATATAGAGGTGTTCCATTTAAGGACTATTTTGCTGCAATAGCTACCCACCTTCACACCCGTTGGCAACAATGTTGGTCTACTCTGCTCAGTAACAAACTTCAATCTATTAAACCGAGTATAGGTTACTGGCCGTCTTCTTGTCACCAGTGTCGAGGTTGGGAGACTACTCTCTCCCATTTTTGCATTGGCCATACTCGTCTTACTCATGGATATCTCATGGAGATGCGCCCTGCTCCTTTCTGTAAGAATTGTCAGGTTCCATTATCAGTCAGCCACATTCTATTGGACTGCCCACTTTATCAGCGAGCACGCAGAATATACCTCCAACGTCGTCTTCGCTCCGCTGCTCTCTCTTTACCTTCCCTTCTCGCTGATGGACCCACCTTTCTTCCAGACTCTCTCATTGACTTTTTGACAACAACTGACTTACTTCACAAACTCTGATGATACCTTCAGCCCTTTCTACCTCAATCTCTTGCTGCCCTCTACCCCTGCACTATCCCCTGCCCCTCTGTTTTCTGTAACCTACTGATCATCCCTCCCCCCTTCTGTCATCCAATACCCTCGCTTCCTTCCCTACCCTGCAGCGCTGTATAGCCCTTGTGGCTTAGCGCTTCTTTTTTATTATAATAATAATAATAATAATAATAATGATAATAAACTGTAGTGTAAAGCACCCCTCTGGCAAGACAGTGATGGAGTGAATGATGAAAGTTTTTCTTTTTCTGGTCACCCTGCCTTGGTGGGAATTTGCCGATGTATTAATAAAATAAATAGGAAAGTATTGGTTCAGATATAGGGTAGGTGATGTGTGGAACAGTCTGCCTAGTAGGGTTATTGAGGCAAAAACCTTCAGTAGTTTCAAATTTAGGTTGGATAAAAACATGAGTGAGAGGGGTTGGATTTGAATGGGACTTGCACGTGAGTTAATAGAATTATCAAAGCTTATTGCTTGGGTAGAATTGAAAATTGGGTTGGGCAAATATTCTGTTAGTGGGATGTATTGTGAAGGACCTTTCTAGTATGGGGCAACAGGTGTGCTGTAGTGTTCCTCCTTTCTTATGTTCTTAATTCCTTTTAAGGAGGGTTGCCTTGACGCTAGTAATGGGCTCGTAATCCAAGGAATTAGAGTTACCTCTCACCTTCCTTGGATATGATATAATTACCCTCCTCCCCTCTTCCTATAAATATAATGATAATCATGAGGGAAACTATGAGTTCCTATGAGTTGTTACTTTTTTTTTTTTTTTTTTTTTTTTGATCAGAGGAGAATGACTCCCATTTCCTAGACTCTTCATGATGCTTACAGGTTTAGTGTTTCCCTTCAATAAAATAAATCTGGATTCTTGGCTTAATGTTTGATCGGACAAGCTGCTGTTGTTTTCACCTGGAAACTAATATATTATCCACAAATCATTTTATGTAGGTTTTCAGCAACTTAAGTTTCCTTTTGTAAACAATAGTATTGACAGATTATTTTACAAACTCAAGTGATGATGTACTTGGTGTGTTTTAAGCCTAGAAAGTTGACTGTTTCCACCAGCACTTTTCTGTTGTAGCAGTAACTATATAAGTTTGTTCTTGTAGAATATGTTATTGTCAATTTCTTTATGTTAAGTTGATGTACTTGGATTACTTAATACTTAAAAAGTTGGCATTTTGAACCCATACATTTCAGCAGTGGAATTGCACTTCATCTAACTTAACTACATTTTTGTATGTATTTATAAAAATGTAGAATTATGTCTTAAAAATTGTTGTGTAAATTAGAGCGTTTCATTTTTTAACTGACCTTTATAGCATATATATTGCTATTTTAACACAGCCATCTCCTACCAAGGTAGGGTGATCCAAAAAAGAAGAAATTCTTTCGCCATCACTTGTTCCATCTGTTGAGAAGGGTTCGTGGAGATTTGATGGTTGGTGTAAAACACACTTGTTGGAACTGAGGACGAGGATGAGCACGCAGCGCTCACAACAGCATCACGTGACGTCAAACATGCTAGTCACCGAGCCTAGCAAGGGGTCATGTATGTAAACATATGGATGGTACTAACTATGATACTCAGATAACATATACATATATGGGATCAGCAACTATGCTGACAGCTCGGTCATGTTACATATGTCGTCTCGACATACGTATGCTATGGGCTGAACAGGCAGGTGGGTCTGGGCTGATTCTATACAATGGCAAGGACATATGTAACTTAGAACTAATGGTTGGTATCGTAATGGATGTTAACGTAATGGGTGTTAACATAATGCATTATGAATTATAAGGACAAATCATGGTATAATAAGGGATGGAGTTGATCGATCAATCTGTATTCATGCACTCTACGGATTCTGAGGAAGAATAAATATATATTTTCAAAGGTGAAAGTAATTAACAGCAAAGGCAGATCTGGCGTGCACAGATCATTACTGCTAAATTCTCAGAATTCGGAGGGAATGTGAACACAAAAATTTTTTTCTCAAAAACTGATCAGCTAGTAACAAAACACACAGTTGACAACTTCATTCATCTTGAACATCTAATTATACAGACTATGTACATTTAAACTCAACTCTGCAAGGGTAAGATTTACATATGCAGAATGGTTATCCTCTTTGGGAGGATCAAATTCTTCTGCAATGGCTAACACATGCCTTGGCTGAGGGCGATATGAACAAGTATCTACAAAAGATGCAGCTACATTCACTAGTGACTGGAATTACTAACTGGTATACTCTTCTGCTTGGAGTACCCAACTCGGCTGTTCGATACAGTAATTCTTGGCTCATTACAAAGTCACTAATGGTTGCTGGTGACTAGACAGTCAGAATAAGATCTTCCTGGAGCAGGAATCGAATCACACAAGACCACATGGGATCGGTTCTTTCTTACTGGAGGAATGAACAAACTCGGTGGAGTGGATGACTCTCCCCGGTAGAAAAAGTAACGCTACAACACGCAGTATGAGCAAGGGAGAACGGATCTACTATCTCTCACTGCAAGCACAGGGGAAAAGAAATGAACACGGTTGCACACAGTGACATGAGGTATCAACTATAAAGAGACTGCACTTACACTGTCTGGAACATAAGGAACAGCAACAACACTCAAGTGAGTACACTAGCCACAAAAACGTCTTTCTGCAACGGCTTGCGACATCAGCAAGAGATGACATAACTCATTATAAGTAATGTTCTTCACAAAGCATCCCCTGGAAGGAATGACTACTTGAACAAGTCGCCATCGCATGGATAGTAGTCTCAGCACCCAGGGTCATCTGAGATTCCTCTGAAACCCAAGGTAACTGTACACCATCCTGTGTGTATGAGACGGAAAAAAAAAAATAGAAAAGCTAGATACAGCGATTGATAAACAAGGGTTGAGGTCGACCGTTCATCATTGTAGGAGTTGCCAGCAGTCACCGGTTTCTTCAACACGCAAGTTATACTTTTGTATCAATCAAATCACATATTACTCGGGTAGATAATTTCCAGTAGATCCTTCATGTGTTAGCTCAAATCACCGACCAGTATGTTTTAAATAAGTGACCCACTGATCACATCAGATCGACTGGTCCGAACCCTTGACTGGTCCGAACCCTTGACTGGTCCGAACCCTTGACTGGTTTCAAACGGTTTCGTTGGACAATAAAGCAGACTGTAACCGGATGGGGTTGTAGGCGCCCTTATAAACACAAACATTAAATATAAATCAGGAACGTGCACGGTAAGCTGTCCAATATACAAAAACAGTTAGAAACAGAAATACAAATAGCTAGAGCTTCATTTAAGGAGGTTATTAATAGAATATTCAAGAGGTTGCTAGTAGAATTGCAGTAAATCAACCATTCAAATCATTATGAAGCTGTGTGTAGTCTGTGGTCAGTCAAACAAACGGGCTTCCACATGGGTAAATTGTCATTTTCGTGGAAATTGGTGTCACGCCCCTTGTGCAGATATCCAAGAACTAGCTACAAGCAGTGTTAAAACAGGGAAGTGTTTTTGGGTATGCCCAAATGAGATAAATCTGTGGACTAAAATCACAAGGGTATTAAAAGAGGACAACATCAAAGCTGCTTTCATAGAAAACCTGGAAGCTTTCTACAACAGATGGGAACATAAAAAGTCTTGGCTGAATGGTACTGCCCTTGATACTGGCCATGTAGTCAGAAACTGTAAGGCTGGAGATGAAGTCCTGGTAGTCAGTAAATGTGGGGCTGATAGTGCTGTCCTGGGAGACAGTAATGGTGAAGCTGGAGGTGCTGTCCTGGGAGACAGTAATGGTGAAGCTGGAGGTGCTGTCCTGGGAGACAGTAATGGTGAAGCTGGAGATGCTGTCCTGGGAGACAGAAATGGTGAAGCTGGAGATTTTGTCCAGGTAGTCAGGAATTATACGCAGGAAGGAATACATATAAATGACCTCATAGGGGACAGGAGCCATAGTAGGGAAACAAGTGTAGTCAAAGATAAGATAAAACCAATATTGCAAACTAGAAATACCGCAGGAAATAGCAAACAAGAGGACTCCACTAGCAATAGTGAGGATATATTACCAAAAACAACTGGTGGGAGCTCCATTGTTGGTGCTAGGGAGGATAGAAGTAAGACAGGGAAACATGCACCAACAGGGAATACAGTCACAGAAACCCCAAGGCAAACGGAAACCAAGCCTGTGCACATACTATGCACTTGGTATCTGCTGGCATGGGAAATCTGGAAAAACAGATGGGACGTGCAGCTATGACCACCCTAGAAAATGCCATGCCCATATGACAACAGGAAAATGCAAACTCCCTTCCTGTAAGCTTTTTCACCCTGAACTGTGTACCTCTTCAGTACAGGAAAGACTGTGCTATAACTTAAATTGCCAGGCATACCATCTAAAGGGGACAAAAAGATACAAAACATCCAGGCCATGGGAAAACCTGGGTAGCCACAGCCACTCAAGAGGGAGAGGTTTTTTAGTGCCAGGAAGGAAAAAAAACTGGCGGGAAATGGCAGAAATCGTACACCAAATCCAGTCATTCCTGGAGCAGAACCACAGTCGATTGCCTCCACTCCAAACCAACAGATACAGATACTAATGCCGGAAAAAAATCCCCCCCCCCCCAGTACCAACAATACCACCAGTCTGATAACATTCTTTTTTGAAAATATACAGGGTCAAAAGCCAAAAACAAACAAAAAAATATTTATCCGTGGACTGCTTGAGAGGAAAAGGCAATGTTCCGGCTTTCACTGAGACCCCATAAAGGATCACTTGGACAACGAAATATGGACCCCAGGTTAAACCTTACAGATGTGCAGAGGAACAGGAAAAAAGGGGGGGGGGTTGGGCCCTGTAATTGCAGATCACTTGTTTGAAAGAACTTTAATCCCTCAAATGATGTAGGGGAAAAGTTTTAGCAGTAAAGGTCAAGAACCAAAACCTAGTCTTTGTGGTAGTTAAAAGCCTGGGATGAACATCCCAGCAATTCCAGGAACACTGTTAAAAATTCCCATTGTCTGGAAAAATCTTCCAGCCCCTGCACCCAACATCTTGCCCTGGGGGATTTCAATTTAAAGGCACCTAAAATGGAGGATATAGCAAAATATTGCTGCGAAATAACACTAGGAGGAAGCTCTGATAAAAACTCCACTCACACGAGCTTTTAAATCTCTGCACAAATTAAATTTTAAAACCCCAGAAAAAAATAGACCCTATAGATGGAGAATACACTAGACCTCTCTTCATACAATGATGATTGATAAAAAAAATGTCACCATATCAAAAAAAAATTTACTAGATCACAAAATAATTAGGTTCGACTGTATGCCCCAGAGACATAATGAGATAGTCACGGGGGAGCTTTCACCAAATTCAACTTCAATAACAAAAAATAAAGTGGGCCCAAGAAAACCCAAGCCCTAACGATTAAGCGGGGAAAGATATACTAAGAAACACAGCCCCCAATTATGCCTAGAACAGTTAACTGGTGGCACTCGATGTATGAAAAGGGTTTTCCTCTAAAAAAAAGGAGGAGTAGATGTAAAATAGAAAGAACGGGCGCTCCCTTTACAGGCGAGGGAAAAAAGAAAAAACAGAGTGGCTAAAAGGGGTCAAATATCTGAAATGGTAGGGAGACACTGGTCAAAAAATAGAAGCATGAACTTATGCAAAAAGAACCTTTGGGAGTAGGAATTGGGGGGGAGAACTAAAAGCCAAAAATGAAATCGAAAAAAAACCAAAAAGAAATTTCTTTCCTATGAAATCAAAATCGAGAACAACGTCCATTTGGGCCCCTACTTAAAAAAGTGGGTCCTACAAGAAAAAGGAAAATGAAACTCAAGTCCCAAAGACTCAGTTTTTAGCGGCCCCAACCCAAGGGGGGAAACAAAATAATTTTTTATGAGAGAGCCCCAAAATTTGATTTAAAAAACCACATGTTTATCCAAAAGAGGGCCGATAAAAACCCCCCACCGCCCCCAAAATGGTCTTGGCCAAGAACCCCAAAAGCCCTTCAATTTTAATGGAAGGGGTGGCCGGGGGACAAAAAAACCCCAAAAAAAAAAAAAACAAAAAAACAACCCTACAAACATCCCCTAAAATAAAAAAAAATTTTTTAAAGGGGGCCAAAACAAAAACCCCCCTCAAAACCAAAGTCAAAAAAGGGAACTTTTTCCCCCCCCCCCCCCCCCCCCCCCCCCCCCCCCCCCCCCCCCCCCCCCCCCCCCCCCCCCCCCCCCCCCCCCCCCCCCCCCCCTGGGGGCGGTCAAAAGGATCTAAATTTTCCCCATAAAAGAAAAAAAGGGATCGTAAAATAAATGGGAAACCGCAGGTGAAAATGAAAGGCACAATGCCCCCAGGACCCAAAACCCCATGGGCAAATTCACCAAACAGTGTTTCCTTTCAGGAACCGAAACGCAGGGGAAGGCTTTTTCAAAAGCAAGGCTCCGGCCTCCCAAAACTTTTAGGGGGCGAAAAACAAATTTAAACAAAGAAGGTTTCCTTTCCCGATAAAATGAGGGAAAAAAATTTTTCCAAGGAAAAACAAAATCGGCACAAATTGGCGAAAACCCCTTAATACCTGGGATTAAAAAGGGGGTTGCCCCAAAGGGTAAAACTTTTTACAACCATTTTGCAAAAAATGGGGAAAAAATTAACCCCCCCCCCCCCCCCCCCCCCCCCCCCCCCCCCCCCCCCCCCCCCCCCCCCCCCCCGGGTCCTAAGAAGCAAGTCCCCCCATCTAGAAACCCATCTTTACAAACCGGGCAACATGGTTTAGAACAGGTCTCTCCTGTCTGTCTCAATATTGGATCACTACGACAAGGTCCTAAATGCACTAGAAGACCAAAAAGAATGCAGATGTAATATATACAGACTTTGCAAAAGCCTTCGACAAGTGTGACCATGGCGAATAGCGCACAAAATGCGTGCCAAAGGAATAACGGGGAAAAGTCGGTCGATGGTTTCTATAATTTCCTCACTAACAAAAACACAGAGGTAGTCGTCAACAGAGTAAAGTCCGAGGCAGCTACGGTGAAAAGCTCTGTTCCACAAGGCACAGTACTCGCTCCCATTTTGTTCCTCATCCTCATATCCGACATAGACAAGGATGTCAGCCACAGCACCGTGTTTCCTTTGCAGATGACACCCGAATCTGCATGACAGTGTCTTCCATTGAAAGACACTGCAAGGCTCCAGGCGGACATCAACCAAATTTTTCAGTGGCGCAGAAAACAATATGAAGTTCAACGATGAGAAATTTCAATTACTCAGATATGGAAACATGGGGAAAATTTAAAAATCTTCTTCAGAGTACAAAACAAATTCTGGCACAAGATAGAGCGAAACACCAACGTCAAAGACCTGGGAGTGATCATGTCGGAGGATCTCGCCTTCAAGGACCATAAATTGTATCAATCGCATCTGCTAGAAAATGACAGGATGGATAATGAGAACCTTCAAAACTAGGGGGGCCCCAAGCCCATTTTTGACACTTTTCCCAGGTCACTTGTTCTATCTAGGCTGGAATATTGCTGCACACAAACAGCACCTTTCAAGGCAGGTGAAATTGCCGACCTAGAAAATGTACAGAGAACTTTCACGGCGCGCATAACGGAGATTAAAACACCTCAATTACTGGGAGCGCTTGGGGTTTTCCTAAACCTGTATTCCCTGGAACGCAGGAGGGAGAGATACATGATCATATACACCTGGAAAATCCTAGAGGGACTATTTCCCGGGAACTTGCACATGAAAATCACTCACTATGAAAGCAAAAGACTTGGCAGACGATGCACCATCCCCTCAATGAAAAGCAGGGGTGTCACTAGCACGTTAAGAGACCATACAATAAGTGTCAGGGGCCTGAGACTGTTCAGCTGCCTCCCAGCACACATAAGGGGGATTACCAACAGACCCCTGGCAGTCTTCAAGCTGGCACTGGACAAGCACCTAAAGTCAGTTCCTGATCAGCCGGGCTGTGGCTCGTACGTTGGTTTGCGTGCAGCCAGCAGCAACAGCCTGGTTGATCAGGCTCTGATCCACCAGGAGGCCTGGTCACAGACCGGGCCGCGGGGGCGTTGACCCCCGGAACTCTCTCCAGGTAAACTCCAGGTATGATATTGTGGCTGGATTCCAGACAGGAGTGACAATATTACTAGTGCCTGACCGCATGAATCTATAGGAGTTAATCTGAACTTTACATTCCTTAGCACTTCAACAAATCTCAGATACAAGCTGTGAGAACGGACATATTGTCTAGCTAGGTATTGTCTTTCAGTCAGTAAGGGGATATTGATAATGTGAACTGATTCTTATTGACTTTGACTGTGCATGATACACTGAGTAAGCAAGCAAAAGTGACTGGGACATCTTTTCAGGGAACTTACTCAAGAACATAAAGGCAAGAAAAATAGAGAGAATGACACAATAAGCTTAAATGGGAAAAAAATGCTTAACTATTCTGCATAAGTAAAGAAAAATAACAAGTCACACTGTAAGCAAGGAAAACTCATAAAAAAAAATACTTAACTGGATAAGCAACACTTCGAAAATCAAGAAAAATTGTGCTTTACTCAAGTCAAATTTACTCAAATTTACTTTAAATTGAATTAATGGCAAAGTGAGTTGTCTTTGCTCTCAGTTCAATAAAGAAATTCAACAATAAATGATAAATCAAGCAAAAAAATGATAAAATGGAATCAATAAATCTTGAGAAAAATTTAAAAAACAAACTAGGAAAAAGCAATTCACTAAAAAGTAAAATGACACAAAAAATAAAATATGCACAGAACAAGAAATATAAAACTGAAATCACAGAATATTGCACTGAGATAACTGTAGCAATATTACAAATAACAATTACTAATCAAAATTTACTGCACAACACAACTCTACATAAAAAAATTCTGAAAGAAAAAATTAATGGCGGGTGCAATATTTACACAAGAATGATTGCAAATGAATCAGTACTGCAATAAAAAAAATTGTACACACAAGAAAATGCAGTTTACAAGAGCAACAAAAAAAATATTATCAATTAATGAACTGATTGAAAACTTTAACTCTTAATTGCAGCTTAAGAAAAACACTTTTTTGAACAAGCAAAAAAAATGATTTACTTTAAAAAGTAGTTAAAAAATTGCCCCTAAGTGAATTTGATCAATGAAAAAATGAAAAAAATAATAAAGGGCAAAAAAAAAAAAAAACGCCCAAAACAGAGAAAGGTTAACACTCACTATAAGGCAGGAACCACCACACAATATATGCACAATACTATGAGAATTTTCTTGCAAAGAGGCTTGGGGTGACAAAAATTGGAAAATAATTGTCTTGCTTCAAACAAAAATAATGGCACTATTGTCTGTGGAGATAAGACAAATTAGACATGGCTAAATGAAAATAATGCAAGAATGTTCAACACAGAAAAAAAATGGCAAATGAATGAATAGAAAAAAAAAAAACAGCAAAACACAAATGCTGGGAGAAAAAAAAAATAACTTGAGACAACACTGAGTTGTGATGCGGGAATATAAGATAAGTTACTGAATATCTTTGCTGCATAAAATTACTAGACAAGGAACACAATACTGTGAA